CTTAAAGATTGTTAAAGCACTCTAACGTTAGAAAAATAAAATCAATTCATAAATTCTTTTCATTCAATTGAATTCTTAAATCAATAAATTGAATCAATTAAACTCTAAAATAGAAAATTGAAACAATTAAACCTTTGAATAAAAAATTAAATTAATTAAACTCTTAAATCGAAAAATTTATTCAATCAAATCATTTAATCAATTTTTACTATCATATAGTACACGAGATTATGCCATATAGAATTTGTGGAATTTACAAAAAAAATTAAAATTTTAAAAAGTTATAAAAAATTAATAAAATTTTAATACTTTCACTTGATAACACAATAATATGATATGTAATATATTTGATGGTTAATATTGATAAAAAGAAAAAGGGTGAATTGATGATTTTTTAAACTATATAAATTTAATTGAGTATAGTTTTTTTTAAGAAAACTTAACTAATTAGGTCCCTAAAATATTTTTACTTTCCTTTCAGATGTGAAGTTTCTGTGCTATTTTTTAAAATTAGGTCCCTAAAATATTTTATAATAGAAAAATCGTACAATATCAAAATTTATCAAAATTTTTCATTACAATTGTTTCTTAAAAAATAAATAAAAAACTTAAACATATGAAACTCAAACAATATAACAAAAAATCTATAATTATGACATTTTATTTAAAAAGTGTCATCGTTCGAATGTTCTTAAAACCAAAATCTTGATATTTTTCTAAAACGTGAGCCTTCTAGATTTTAAGACCTTGTAACGTATCACATACAATACTTATTGATGATGGGTCTACTTCCCCGTGTGTATAAATTCTTGTTTATATAATTATGAATTTTATTACTCCAAGAATTGAATTAAGATCGAACATCTTGTAGAAAAAAATAAACATCGCAAAAAATAAAATTATCCATCGTTAAAACTAATAGGATTCGATAAATATTTAAATTTAAAATTTAAAATAAATTAATATTTAATTAACACAAATTCAAACGGTTATGGGTCTAAAATACTATCACACACACAAAAAAAGTTTAGAGGAGAAATAATTATTTCTTAATTATTTTATTAGTCTAAAATAAATAAAAGATAGTATTTGTTTAAAAGATTTATAATCGTTCAATAATAAATACTTTATATATATACAATGTCCTACTTGAATTCAATATTTTAAAAAATAATAATGATCACTTAATTATTAATGCATGTTATTTATATCAAAATTTACATTTAAATAATTATTATTTTATACGCAGATAAAGAAATAACATACACCATCGGATCATATATATATATCGTTTAGATTCTCTTGAATACTCAACACAATATTCGGATAAAGTTCATCATTATCTGTTCTTTAAGAAGTCAAAAGCTTTGATTGATGAGTTCGGATCAATATATACACACAGTTAAATCCTATTCATCTGCAGAAAAACCAGCTGTTCCAACTCGATCGCTCAGTCTCCAACTCAATTAAAAATGAATCAACTCACATAAAAACTCAGAATATATTGATTTCGATTTAGAAAAGAAAAGAAAGAAAAAGAAAGGGTCCCTAGAACCGGCTATGGTGGATCAGCTACTCATCTCGCCTTGTCAGAGCACTCCTCTTTTAACTAGTACTCGTAAGACTTCCTTTTACTTTTTCTCCTCTCAATAATTCATCCATTATAATTTCTCCTTTTCATGCCCCCCTTTATTTATTTATTCATTGTTTAGTCCTTAAATGTTCCTTCACCAGAGCTTATACTTTTCTAAACAAACAAGAAACAATGGTGAAGTTTTGTTACGAACAACTCGTGGAAGCCACCCAAAGTTTCTCTCCGTCGAGGCTGGCCGGAAAAGGCAGCCATGGAACGGTGTATCGAGGCGTTCTTCGAGATAACCAAGTGGTTGCCGTGAAGAGATCCTCCATCAATGGAGTCGAGGCGCAACGTGAAAATTTGAAGAAGCTGGACAATGAAATATCCATATTGTCATCTTTACGTGAAAGTTCTAATGTCGTCGGCTTCATCGGAGCTAGTCACGGCTCGGCCGAGAACGACGACAAGCTTCTGGTTATGGAGTTTATGGCTAATGGTTCTTTGCATGACTTGTTACACGCCGCCATCACGCCTCCGTCGTGGCCTAAACGTGTGGAAATCGCTATGCAAATCGCGAGGTCGGTTCAGTTTTTACACGAAGGCAAGCCTTTGGTTATCCATAGAGATATTAAATCGGATAATATCTTGTTCGATTCGAACTGGACTGCTAAGCTTGCTGATTTCGGACTCGCGATCTCGCCGGCGGACTCGTCGAGTCAGGCCGCTCAACCCGCCGGTACGATCGGGTACTTGGACCCTTCTTACACTTCCCCTAACGAATTAAGCACTAAAAACGACGTGTTTAGTTTAGGGATCGTGTTATTAGAAATCATCAGTTGCCGGAAAGTTATTGATCTCACAAAAGCGCCGGCTTCCATCGTCGAATGGGCGGTTCCGTTGGTGAAAAAGCAAAGAACGATCGAAATCTACGACCCCAGGATTCCATTTCCAACGTACATGATGGATTGCATGATAAGGAGAATACTGAACGTGGCGTCACGTTGTTTATCTGAGGACCACGACCGCCGTCCTCCGGTTGGAGAAATTGTCGTGGCGATGGAGACTTGTTCCGTTGAACGAGTCAGACTGGGGAATATGACCGCCTGGACCGGCGTTTTGAATTACTTGGTTCAACTCAAGAGGCGGCGGAAGCTGAGTAGGAAATGCAGCAGGGTGGTTTATTCGACCCAACAAGGTGACCTTAATGGCGGCGGTGTTAATCCGACGGGGAAAGTAGTGTTGCTAAAGGAGATATCAGCTGGCAGGTGTCAGATTGAAATGAAGTTCTGTTTTTGTGAAGGATGAGTTGACTCGGTTTGCGATGTGAGTTGAGGGAGATGAGTCAAAGTTTTTGGTCTTGGGTTTGTGGATATGGAACGCTGGTTTTAATTAAAAAACAGGCATTCCAAACGGAAGATTCCCAAAAAGTTGGTAGCATGAAAGCTTTGTTGGATGCCCTCTCATCCCCTTTTACTTTCTTTTCCATTTATATATACACATTAATATTTAGTCATACGTCATCATAGTTTATATATAATATATAAATTATACATTACTAATATTCTCCATTAATTATTATCGAGTAAGAAACATATGAAACAGAGCGGATGAGTATATTTATCCAACTTCTGTCAAAACCTAGCTTCTCCATCACAAGTCATAGGTAAGGCCACTCAACCCCGTCGTAAGCTTTACTCATATCTAGTTTCAGTGAAAAGCAACATTTCTTCCATTCTCTCTTTTGTGTGAATGAATGTAATAGTTCATATGTCGTGACTATATTATCCGTGATCAATCTTCCCGGTACAAACGCGCTCTGAGCTTCATGGATACATAAATGTAAACAGTCTTGTATTCTATGAACCATCATCTTCGCTGCAATTTTATACAAGACCTTACACAAGCTAATTGGTCTGAGCTATGTTAATCTTCTGGGGGATTTGACTTTTGGGATTAGAACAGTACGATCTCTTCGAAGTTTTGGGTTCCATTTAACAGTCCAATGCAAAATCCAGCAATATCCATTCCTACAATGTGTCAGAATTTTTTGTAGAACATTGCCCCTGGCCTATCTTCCCCTAAGGCTTTGAGAGGACACATTTATTTCAATGCGGTTGTGGCTTCTTCGAACGTGAAGGGTCTGCACAGTTTGTTATTTTTCTTCGATCTCGATTATGCATGGTTGTATTTCATTCGATATGGACTCAGCTACATTAACAGAACCTGTAGTAAATAACTCCACGAAGTACCTCTTTGCTATCTCATGAATGGTTGACTCTTTTGAATGTTCCTCTCCTTCACCATCTTTGATAGTTCTGACCTTGTTCTGACGTTTTCTATGGGACGTGAAGAGGTGGAAAAAACTTGTACTATTATCATAGTTTTTTAGCCAATTCACCCTTGCTCGTTGTTCCCAATACAACTCAGCTTTATAGATTTTCATGTTTAATTAGAGTTGTGCTTCCATTAGTTGACCAAGGTTTTCTTCTAGGGATCCGTCTCTCTTAGATCATTTAGTTTCCTCCTTAGTTCGCGTTCCGTCATGCCCTTCGTTTCAGATAAATCCTGGTACCACTTGTTCAGTCCTTCTCTAATTCATTCTAATTTCTCCAAAACTGTGCTTGGTCGAGATGTCCATATCTTTTCAACTTGAACTTCCATTCTCGATGACCTCGTATTGCTTCCATTCTTGATCTTGTATCTTAACCAGAGACCCCCATCTCGATGCCAGTTTCAAAAAGAAATCTTCACACCGGCAGTTCAGATGCACACCTATTAATGAGACTGAGAAAAAGGCCATAGGCACTCCTCTCTCTTGATACACAGGGACCAACCTTTCAAACCAGAACTCTAAATCCTTCGCTCTGTTCTCCATCGCTTTCTTTTTCTCATCCTCCTACGGGAAAGTGATAATGCACACATTCTTTGCATATCCCAGGTCGCCACTTTGACATTGAACCCGTTCAGAGGTATGAACACGTTCAGAGGACTCTTAACCTCCCCATCCCCTTTCTTCTTCCTTTCTCCATCACCCGCTTGATCCTTCTGTATTCCCATCAATGATTCTTTGTACGATCTATCTTGTTAAAAGATGCCGACTTATCTGCTCCCCTCCTTGGAACATCTCCTGTACTCCTTGGAGCTTCTTCTTTACCACCCCATCTTTTCCTTCTGTGCATCTCTTTCCTGATATTTCGCCACCGCAACAGATATCCTTTTCCCATCGATCGTAGCGTTATTAAGCTTCTCAATGGCCTTGAGCATATCCTCCTTGGTTTTGAAATGGACGAAAGCAAACGTCGCATCTCTGTACTTTGGCCTTCTATTAACAAAAGAAATAAACACTCTGGTAATCTTACCATGGTGCTTAAACCAAAACCATAAAGCTTTCCTCGACTCTCTTCTACTAAGATTATCAACGAAAATGCACCACTTTGCTCCAGTGAGGAGCGACGCGTCACTAGCACTTTCCTCGACAGTCTTGTTTTTTTTATATAATGTTTAAGTGTGCCTTTGATGAGCTAAATCCAAATCTCTGGACAGTCTTTGGTGATAGAAATATGGTCCATATTCGTTTTCACATTTTTTGGAGACTCCCATCACTATATTTTCAATACAGTGTAGGTTGGAAGGATAACATCTTGTGTGTTCGGTTTATTTTATTTTAAATAATAGATTTTGTGCATAATTTCAAGGCCATAGGGAGGAGTGGTGAATGAATCATCCCGTAAGGGATTTTTGTTGTCATCTTTTTCTTTCTACTTTTCTCCTACCTAACCTTCCTCAGCCGATTGTTTTGTTTAGAGCACACCTTGAAGGCGTTGGATGAAAAGGAGAAAGTGTCTGAAGCACCAGAGCCTACTACTGAAGTTATTTTCCTTTGCAGCTATGAAGGCTGTGGACAGACGTTTATTGATGCTGGTGCTTTGAGAAAGCATTCACACATTCACGGAGAGAGACAATATATTTGTCACTATGAGGGTTGTGGGAAGGTATCTTGTTTAAGATTTCTACTTCTGATGAACGATAAAGTCCTTAAGAATCACTGTTACATAATGAAGCTGTTCTGATTTATGCTTTCTTGGGAACTATGTAAATGTTTAGTTCCACCTTTGAAGTGTTTCATTGGTGTTACCCCGCCTGTAGAGAAGATAATTAAAACACCGAAGTCTTCTGATCGCCCTTATGCCCGCCCTTACGAAGGTTGGGAGAAAGCTTACATACATGAATACAAACTAAAACTCCATTTAAGGAGAGAGCATCCGGGTCATATGTCAGATGAGAATGCCGAGAACGCCGCACCTAATGCCGATAATGAGATGTATGAAGGCAGCGATCATGATGCTTATGCTGGAAAGCGAGTTAACGGAAGAAGTCAGAAGCAGAGTAGGGCCAAGCCAAACGTGAAGATGCCCCCTGCAAAGATTGCAAGGCAGAAAGTCTCGAGCCCTTCCCCTGCCACTTTGCCTATACCCAAAAAACAATGGCCAGTCAAAGAACAAGTATTCGAGGAAGAGGATAGCGAAGAAACGGAAGAAGACCGCGACAATGTAGAGGATGGATGGAAGTATAGGGAAACCAATGAAGAGGATGACGAAGAGACGGAATACGAGGACTAGAGCAGACTTTCATACTACTGAATAAATGTGGTGTTGGGTATTTAGCATCCGTTCCCCTTCTGTTACAGGAAAGCTATGTGATGTTGGGGAAAAGAGAAATAATCTCGCATCCATTCTCACCTCACCTTATCCACTATCTCTTCTGATTCCTTTTTCGTTATTTTTCATCTCTTAGTTCATAAATTTCAAACCTTACCTTTCTCGTACAGCAATGGCAACAACAGCCTCAGCCACACTGTGTCCGCCCACATTGGCCGCTGCCGGCGTAGGCAGCCCGAGAAGAAGAACTTCGATCAAAGTGAATTTCATCACATGACTTAATTCCTTTGGTGGGCTAAAAGCTCACAACAATGTGGTCTCACTAGGCCAGCCAGCGTGCCTCGAGCAGTCGTTTGCAAAGGTCGTGAGCTCGCTCAAAGCTCCGTCCAAGGGGAAAGGCAGAGGCGGCGACGGAGCCTTGTCTTCGACGTGTGATGCGGTGGGTGAGATATTCAGGATTGCAGCCATCATGAATGGACTTGTTCTTGTCGGAGTTGCTGTGGGGTTCGTTCTTCTCCGAATTGAAGCATCTTTGGAGGAGGCCGAGTGAGCATAACCTTGTATTGTGTCGTAATATATGCCTTGCTTTTTCTTTGGCAAATTCGTAATGTAATTTGCTTTCATCCTTCATGGACATGGAACTTCGATTGATTTCAATTCCCAACTAAATTCGTAATGTAAGACTGAAATATACAGTCAAGCAGTCCTCTCATCTCATCATCTTAGACCGTTGACAAGAAATTATGGGATTCAAAGTTGCCAACAAAATAAACTAGTTGTCTTGGAAATCAAAGTACACAACTTGCAGTTCTTGCTTCATTTAATGAGCAGGAAATTAAACGAAAAGGCAGAGTGCATGCATGTACATGTTTGCTTTGGATAATGTCCAAAGGTGTTTTTGTCGTTAAGGAGCTGATTATTATTTTTAATATAATAAGGACTGAAGTAGGTGAATTAGCTTTGTCTAAACTTTTAAGGGATTGATTAATAGGTAAAGTATATAAATGGTCATCAATTACTGACATATTTGTTTTTCAATCATTAAGTTTCAAAAATTATAAAATAATCATTAAAGTTGAAGGATTCAAAAAAGTCGGGTTTGATAGGTAAACGGGTCAAGCAAATGTGAAATAAAGAAATTGAAGCATGATGTACTTGGATTGCTGAAATTGATTAGCTTTTCAAGGACGAAAATTGCAGGGCTGAATTTGCTGTTAATATAGAAAGTTTCAAAATTTAATCTCTGAAACTCGTGCCAATATTGCCTGATGATGTCAACCCAATACGTAATTTTAATTTATCGTCATATATTTTGTATTAATATTTTATCTGACGACAAATTAAGATTATTTATAAAAAAAATTACTTTCAATAATAATTAGTCACCCAAACCATACAAAATTATATATATATATATATGTGAAAGTAGCTTAGGGTCCAGCAGATTAATTTCTAGTCAAAAGTGTTTGCAGTTGAAAAATTGGAAGCCTAATTTGGTTGCTCCTGAGCTGCCAAGCCCTCAAACAAGATATGGATTAATTATAGATTGCCCCCTACACTTTTTATGTAAATTATATTTTACTCCTCGAATGACTCAATTTTTACCCGCGATATGCAAAGGCTTTAATCATGATTGGAAACATAACACGACTTAACAAAATGTTAAGCTCAAGGATAGTATAAGAGACGGACGTAAGATCTTATGTTAGAGGGAACGAACTTAAACTTTAAAAATTACAGGAGAACGAATCTCAACTTATAAATTTTTCAGGGGACGATGCCCCCGCCCTCGGTTCATCATAATACTATAACCACCGTTTTGTGACCAAATTTCAGTTATGTTCATGGAAACCTAGGAAACTTTTTTCATATACATGAACAATAACATTGCCCTTCCGGTTCAAAACACGTGTTAGTAGAGTTTCAATACACCTGCAGACATCTTACGTTGAATGTCCAAAAAGCCAGCATGCACAAACCCTAAACCCTTGAAAGAACATTTACATGGAGAGTTGGAGGCCATCATTTTGGAATGGGCTGTTTTGCCTTGTGAAGAAAAACGCTAACGACTACTTCCTTATGTTTTTTAATGGTATTTTTCGGATCTATTTTATGATATATATTCGAAAATGATTATTTGATTATATATATATATATACACTTCAAAACAGCCTTTTCTCTGCAAATTTTGAAAGACAACGCCGTTTGTTTCAATGCTATTAAAATATGATTCTTTTTCCACTACTATTCTTAAAATATTGTTTTGATTCCTTTCGCAAAAAATAATTTTCTTAGCACTGATTCATAGTATCGAATGGGTTTCTGCATTTATTTTTGCTTTATTAAATAATGTTTTAAATCATCAATATAAAGGAGGGAAAATGATGACGTGCTACAATTTTAATATACGGTTAAAAAAGACGTTATCAATTTTGTTATTAAAAATTACCGAAAACGTTGTTATTTCTATCGGTTTTGTTATTATTGGATGTTTTATCAAGCTTGGTAATATATCTGATAAAGAGCTACCGGTTTTGTTATCGTTTGATACTTTACTAGAAATATTAAAAAATATTGATGCTTTATGTAAAAATAATAATCATTTAGGTAATTATTTTACTGATTTTATTATTTAAATAATAACAAAATCGATAATATCTTTTTTTAATCGTATATTAAAGAAACTGCACCGTAAAACTTCTCATAAAGTAGTATTTTTTTAATACATAAAGTACTAGTATTTAAATCATTGGATATTGTTGAAAATTATGGAAACAATAAGAACAACCGATAGAAAACTATTCACTTCTTTTATTATAACTTTCAATCAACAACACTATGCTTTTAGACAAGGCTACAGTTGAGCACCACGTAACCGCAAACAGTTACATGCATTTAAAACCTAATAACTGCTATTAAGAGTTTCTCAACAGTACGCACTATAACAAACGCATTACACCCATATACGTTGAATATTCTCCTTAAAAAATTGTGTTGGAAATATAGACAGTAAAATGAGAAGTTAGCGATTGACTGAACAATATAAAAATATTAAAAATAAACAATCGAAATTATATTGTGGTGAAAACCACTGCCTTATAAATAAATTCACCTCAATGTGTGTAATTATTGTTTCAATCAGATTGTCTTCGATTAACACAGTCGCTCCAAATTTCGTACACCCGAAACCGGATCGTGAATTGCATGTGGTATTGCTCTTCTGATAACAGTAGAGAGAATAACTCGAAATATCATTAGATGAGAGTGTTGAGAGTGTTTTGAGAGTGATATGAAGCTCTTTTTAGACAATAACCACTCCGAAAATTAATCTATATTCATTCAATGTTTCATAAACGTGAGTTCAAAAACTGACAATTTAAAATTTTAATTTTCAAAATCAAAACGACAACTGATTTTTATACAAATTTTCTCTAAAAACATAGTATCCGCGCGGACGAGCCACGAGCTGAGATGGACGGCAATGACTACACTGCGCGAGATTTGCATTTGTTCTCTATCACTCCACGAAGGAAGGAAGAATGAACACTATTAATACCCAAACCAGTGGTATTTCCCACTCAATGCGGGATAGTGTTTTAGCATTACCAAATTCCCCCACTAATGTGAAATAATTCTTCTGAACCTCGAAATACAACCTTTTCAAAAGAGCAATAAGAGAATTAGATGCTTAAGAACTAGTGAACGTATCTTGAACTATTGCATAATGATGATGAGCAATCATTCTCTTAGATAAGTGAAACTAGTCTAGAACTTTCTAAAATAAGGGTAAATTCATAACACACAACTAACCCCTTCATCCATCGAGTATAAACACACATACATAAATGTATATTAGACCTATCTTACCTCAGGATTCTAGTAAGAGTTTCTCAACAGAACCCACGAGAACAAACATATTACACCCATATACGTTGAATATTCTCCCTGCCTCTTTGTCCTCCTTGATAAACTTGTGTTGGAAATATATACCGCTAAATGAGACGTTAGTGATTGACTGAACAATATAAAAATATTGAAAAATGAAAAACCAAAACTGTGTCGTGGTGAAAACCACTGCCTTATAAACAAATTTTCCCCGATGTGAGATGGACGGCGATGACTACACCGCACGAGATTTGCCTTTGTTCTCTATCACTCCACGAAGGAAGGAAAAATGAACACTATTAATACCCAGACCAGTGGTATTTCCCACTCAATGCGGGATAATGTTTTAGCATTACCAAATTCCCCCACTAATGTGAAAGAATTCTTCTGAACCTCAAAATACAACCTTTTCAAAAGAGCAATAAGAGAATTAGATACTTAAGTACTAGTGAACGTATCTTGAACTATTGTATAATGATGATGAGCAATCATTCTCTTAGATAAGTGAAACTAGTCTAGAACTTTCTAAAATAAGGGTAAATTCATAACACACAACTAACCCCTTCATCCATCGAGTATATACATACATACATACATAAATGTATATTAGGCCATCTTACCTCAGGAAGTAAGAGTTTCTCAACATAACCCACGAGAACAAACACATTACACCCATATACGTTGAATATTCTCCCTGCCTCTTTGTCCTCCTTGATAAACTTGTGTTGGAAATATATACTGCTAAATGAGACGTTAGTGATTGACTGAACAATATAAAAATATTGAAAAATGAAAAACCAAAACTATGTCGTGGTGAAAACCACAGCTTTATAAACAAATTTGCCCCGATGTGAGATGGACGGCGATGACTACACCGCACGAGATTTGCCTTTGTTCTCTATCACTCAACAAAGGAAGGAAGAATGAACATTATTAATACCCAAACCAGTGGTATTTCCCACTCAATGCGGGATAGTGTTTTAGCATTACCAAATTCCCCCACTAATGTGAAAGAATTCTTCTGAACCTTGAAATATAACCTTTTCAAAAGAGCAATAAGAGAATTAGATGCTTAAGACGTATCTTGAACTATTGCATAATGATGATGAGCAGTCATTCTCTTAGATAAGT